GCTTGGTATGTGTATTTATTATAAAAATCTTAATAAAGTTTTATTAAGAGAACGAAAGTCTTTTAAAATCTTCCTTCAGTGAAATTTATTATAATTTATTATTTTATAGTATTCTTTGTTTCGAAGTGTGACATTGCTTGCTTTGCTCAGCAGAAAAAAACAGCTTTGTAACTGTTATAAGATTCTTTAATATATGATTGATTTAAGTATACTGTTTAAAACTTATAATAAATTTTGTTTTAAAGATTGAAATGTCACTTAAACATTGGAAATTGAGCTTTTCTTTTTCAAACTGACTCAAATATCATTCTTTACATTAAGATTCTACTCTAAAGATTTAAAAGAATATATTTAAATTTAGTGAGGAAGTAAGAGCACTTGTATTAAAGAATATTGTAACAGTTACAATACTTTTTTCTACTGACAAACCACTATTTCAGTATTATAGTGGCTTTTTAAAAGATTTTTACAATTATTCTCACAGTTGATGGGTTTATAGCTTTTAATCTCTCCTTGAGTTTACACGTTAGTTATAAATTTTTTAATCTTTTCTCTAAACTTCTAAATTACTCAAATATATATATATATTTTTTTCCCCCAATCTTATTTGTTTAAGCTTTTTATCCTTGTAATTTATGTAATTTTCCTTCAAAAACCATGACGATGAATTTTGTCATACACTTTCAACAAATTTTTGAGATGCAATAATGTTGTTGCGATATTGGATGCTATTTATAGTGACACAAATTGTTACAAAAGTCATTCTGTCTTTAATTACTTTCTCTTTAAGACGTTCAACAAAATAATCACTCTATGTCAAACAATATGCATTATCTAGAAGACATCTTTAAGATTAAAATGTCTATAAGAATAAAGGGCAATTCGAGAGTTATCGATAATTATAACTAAAAATGTATCACATATAAGAGAAAATTAGAAATATAATTAAGAAAAATTCAAATTGTATACATATATGTATATTTTTTTGTTAGATTTAATAAAATATCTTTTAGTATGTTATCTGTTCAAGTACGTTGTCTGGATTTTTGCTATTTACTGAATGCTAGCTACCAAGAATAATAGAGAATCATGTGTGTGTTGTTCATGATAAATTATATATATTTCCTAAAAGAAAGGCATTTATTGTGGGAATGTTCTCTGAGTCTTTGATGTTCAACCTCTTTCTTAAGGGCCATTTTCAGATATAAATAAAATCTTGTGGACATGTTTATTTTGATAGCATATACATATATGTATATATGAAAAACAATTTTAGTTAATTTATGTTATTTACTTATATAATTTGCTACACACACCACACACACACACACACACACACATACATATACAATTTTTTTATTTAATATTAAATTAAATTTTTCTATCTGTTTGTTTTTTATTCTAGTTATTTATTTCGATATTTGTTTTTACACGACTAAACACTTTATGAAAAAATAACTGCCATAATGAATAACTTTTAATTTTATTTTCACATCAATAATAAAATTAAAAAAGTCAAGATAATTTACAAAATCAATTATTTTAAAAACATATTATTTATTAATAAATTTCGCTCATTTTTTGCAATGCAAATTAAATAATTAAACGATCTAAATTGGGAAGGACCTGTGAGTTCCGAAACGTACGACATTTTTTGTTAGTTTTTTTATATTATATTGTAAAATTTAAGAACAATAATTATTATTAAATCCATTTAGCTCGATTTAAACCGTTTAATTATTTAATTTACATATTATTTACTTATGAAAGCTACCAATTTGAATATAAATTCTTGAAACTTTTAATATAATATGTATCTTAAATAAAATGATACTATTTTGCATAATGTTATTATTTTGATAGTTTACATAAGACAGAAAGTATAATTTTTGGCTATGAGCTACTAGGCTGTAAAAAATTAATTTAAAATGAAGCGGGCCGTGCGCAGCGTATCAGTATAACCTATGCGCGCTATCTGATTCGCATTGTTTTTAAAAGTTTAAATACATGCTACGGTATATATATAATTGCAATTTGTAATTATTCTATTATATAACAATTATTAATATTTATGAAGAATTATTGTTGTAAAAATATATTTTTATTAACAGTGAACCCAGATGACGATGAAAGCTGCAGCAGTGAGAACAATGTTGATCATAAGAAACAAGTGATGAAAATAAATGAACAACCAAAAGATAGTAGATCTTCGAGAAATAAATACGCACTACAGTTCTTTCAAGAATCCAATGAAAAATTGCGAAAACGCAAAGAACGAGCCTTTAAAAGCATCGAACCCGCAAGTCTCAAGGATCAAGAAATTGCCGATAATTATTTTCCGCCTGGAATTGATATGCCAAAGCGACCTCCGTGGGATTTTAATGTGACAAAGGAACAATTAGAGATGAGAGAACAGAGATATTTCACAGTATGTAATTAGGACTCTATACTAAACAAAATTATAGTTTATTGAACATGCTACTGACTAATACTTTTTGTATTTAGGATTACTTAGATAGCATGGAAGAATTAGCTAGCTCGAGTTACTTTGAATTAAATTTAGAAACCTGGCGACAACTGTGGAGAGTTCTAGAAATGTCAGACATTTTATTAATTATTGTTGATATTAGATATCCCGTTCTAATGTTTCCTCCGTATTTGTATGACTATGTGACGAAGAAATTGAAGAAAGATATGATTTTGATATTAAACAAGGTTGATCTAGCACCTCCAGCGTTAGTGGTAGCTTGGAAAGAATATTTTCATAATCAATATCCAAAATTACACATTTTAATGTTCACATCGTATCCCACTTACAATCTTCGTGGTGGTACAAATAACGAGGAGGAGGGTATAAAGAAAAGATTTCGCAAGGGAAAATTGAGAATGGCCGCGGAAGGAGCGCAGAAGTTGTTGGAGGCTTGTAAAGATATTGTTGGAGATACAGTTGATCTAAGTTCCTGGTATGAGAAGATTCAAGAGGAAATGCATTCCGAATACGATTTAGATGACATAAATCACAAGGATAATATAACAGTTGAGAAGGAGGATACCACTTACTTTGAACACGAAAAATACAAAAATGGAGTTCTGACTATTGGGTGTATTGGAACGCCGAATGTTGGAAAGTCTTCTTTGATGAATGCATTGATGGGTAAAAATGCAAGACCATTTAATTACTTTTTTTGTATTATTTAATTAGTCACCAGTTAAATGAGATTGATTAAATAATGATTTTTTAAATATTTGTATTCCACATTTAATAATGTCATTTGATTTCCATTATCTAATATTTTATTTTATAGGCAAGAAAGTCGTGAGCGTGTCTCGTACTCCTGGTCATACTAAGCATTTTCAGACTATTTATCTCACAAAGACTATATGTTTGTGTGATTGTCCTGGTTTGGTTTTTCCTTCAACCGTACCCAAAGAATTACAGATATTAATGGGCTCATTTCCGATTGCTCAAGTCAGAGAACCGTATACCGTTGTACAATTTTTAGCCGAAAGAGTAAATCTACCAAAACTATTAAAGATTCCACATCCAGAGAACGATGACACTTGGTCCGCTATGGATATTTGCGATGGTTGGGCTATTAAAAGAGATTTCAAGACGGCAAGAGCAGCTAGATTGGATACATATAGGGCAGCAAATTCATTGTTACGAATGGCGTTAGAAGGAAAAATTTGTTTGTATATATATCCACCAAATTGGACCATTGATAAAAGTATTACTTTATTCTCTCTTATCATATATAAATAAGATTATTTGTCTGTGAAAGAATTGTTTAAATAACTATATATGACATTCTTAAAAGATGTAAATTTTTTTAGAAAAATGGGAAAATCACGCAGATGTTGAGACAGTACGATGGATTCAAGCTAGGAATAAGGGTGATAATTTCAGTATGACACCAACCGAAGATATGTCTTCTGAAGATGAAGAAATTGACGACGGAAGACTGACAGAATCTTCTAGAAGTGCAGCGAATGATAAATCTACGGAATCGTCAACTGAGGAAAATGATATGCCGCTTGTAGCTAATAAATTTTCATTGTTATCTGCGGAATAATAAAATAATTTATTATATTGCATTTTGCTCAAATATTTTATTTATCTCTTTTTTTACACATATATTTTTTTCTTAATATATAATGAGCAATTTGATGATAAAGAATGATTTTCCTGTGTTTTGGCCAGCGAAACACAGTCGTCATTATGGGTGCGATCCACTTGTACTGCAAATACTTCGAAGCATTTTTTGATTGGTCAATTCATAAAATTCTTTTTTCTCATTGAAGCATTTGCAGTGTTAAGTGAATCGCATCTTATGATACATAATATTTTACGAGTAAAAATAGATTATTTTGTACAAGCGACTACTTTGTTGCTATAATATTTTTCTCATTTTTTCATATTTTTTTAAGGTCACTGTGTATGAATTATTTACAGTGTAGTCCTAATTTGCAATTATTCTGGTTAATTTGTTACTTGGTCCACTATAAACTGATCAAAGATAAAAAAACTACATTATCATAACTTCTTCAGTGACAAAGTAATACAAATCATTTAAAAAATTATCATAAATCAGTATTTCGTACAACTTATCTACAATGTTTATACGTAAAATATAATCTCTAGTGCCCTAACATTTGCATATCTAACATGAAACTGTGTAAGATACATAACTTCTATTTTTTCGAAAAACATTTTATCTTCTTTGGTATTTTATACAAGATATTTCTCAATTATGATTTTTATATAAGTTGCTCAGAAATATCCTGTATGTATTTTTAATTCTATTAAAATCCATTATAACTTCTATTTTGTCACTATAAAAGAATTCGAATTTTTACAAGTCAATATTAAGGGTAAATGAGAGAGAAATTAATCTCATAAAATGCTAATTTACGTCGATTTTGTATAATGTACAATAACAATATAGAGCTTTGACTACATTTTTAAATCCGTCAAATTGTTTTCTAAAACAACAATTATACATTGCGACGAATATCATTTTTAAGCTCCTAAGATCTTTTTCACCGAATAACCTGGTATTGCATAAAAGAATAAGAGCAGAAGTATAATCAATCCAATTGCAATTATGGCTTTCAGGATAGCCCATTTATAGTTGTGCCAAACTATATATTTGATGGACTTTAGTGGATTGAGAAACCACATAAAGGATGCATCCGGACGACTGCAAAAAAATTAAAAATATGAAAAAATTAATTAACAGTACATCATCATAAAAAGTAGATAAACAGAAAGAGAAGAAACTGGGCACCTATCATAGAACAAGTCGGAATAGATTCCGATCGGAATTCATTTCGACATGTTCTATGATAAATACCTTGATATTATTATTATATAATACTAACTTTGGCTTATCCAGTGGATCAGGTTCATTTCTACCAAAACCAGCAGGATTTTTTTCTGCCTCTTCTTTTGTAAGCAAATGTATCTCAGCTTCGACCTTGCCCTGTACAAAATACATAAATTAATATAAAATATAATCTAATAAAAACATAAATTTAATTGTACTTAAGTAAAAAATTTAAAAGTTGCTATTTTTTGTATAAATAAATAATATACTGATTGAGTAAAAAATATCGGTCCAGTTAATATTTCAAAAATAAGAATTGTTTTCGATATATTCAACCGGTTCAATACTTCTTGCTCACCTTGTATATTTAAAATTTTATATTTATATGTGTATTATCTTTTTACCGTCAGCTCCATGTCTTCATTCTCTTTCTTTACATAAAATGGCCACCACCCCTTTATACGTTTCTGCTTGAAAATGTTAACCGTTGGCACAGATCCGTCTGTTTTTAGCATGCTTAATGAGCAGAGCTTACTATTTTTTGCTCCTCGGGGAAATCGATTGAGATCGAGCGTTATTGCGCCCAAGAAATCATCTGCTGAGAAATGATCTGCATCCCAAACCTGTAAAAAGCGTTATTTTTATCTACGTATATCGGAACGAGATCGAAAGTATCATTTAATTACGTTACCTGTAATTCTAAGCGTGCTGGTATTTTACATTCTGTTTCGTCCCAGCTAAATAAGCTTTCTTTACGATTAATAACGATCTTCTCTTCCGCTACTAGATAATCGAATGGAAATATAAAACGCCAGTTAAAATTTCCTTCGCCGGTTAATGATCGATAATGAATATCGGTGTATTGACAATCCTCGGGTCCCTTTAGCCATCTGTTAAGTAACGTTGAAATATAATTGTATTTTAATATTCAAATTCTGAAAATTTCAACTCAAATAAAATACGAATATCAGTTTTTATCGCAATGAAATTTTTCAAAAATTATATTGATGGTATTGTTTCCAAAAATATAGTAACTGCAGTGTCTTCATGTAATACTTATTTTTTTTAATATAAATTTAAATAATCTTATTTTGGAATTAGTTATAAAGTTATATAATATAAAAGATAGTAAAATTTTGAACAAAATAGTGCATTTAATTAAACTATTATATTGTTAGGAAAGAATAAGATCTAAGAGAAATAATTTGAGAAATATTTTTTAGTTGAGAGAAACTCATTTTTTTATTCATTATTATCAATAATTAATATTAATAATCTTTTTATCCAATTGTATTATAAAAAAATTTATAAAAATTAATTTTTTTTAGGAATCTATATTTACCCTTTTACATAAATGTCACTCATCTTCTCGCCAGTGAAGAATGCGTCATCTTCCAAGACGACGTCGTCTGTATTCCATATGATTACTCTCAATTCATAGCTCTTGGGCTTTCTCGGTGAAATGTCGATGGATGATCCCGGCGAGGGCATGTCCATTGGAAACATGTCCACCCACATTTCCAATTTTCCCTGTTCAATACCCGGTTTCTCGGGATTATAGAGAGGTCGGGTCTCCACGTGCTCAGGTACCAAGGCACAACCTATTCGCGGAAAAGCGTTCCATTGATGAAGAACAGCTAAGGCGAGATGTTCTTCCATTCCTAAAAAAAAGTAATCTTTTATTATGTGATATGATTACATCAACGTCGCATATTAAAAAGCAACATAAATCCTATTATAATATATTACATATCTATTAAATTATATTTTATATTATGTAATTTATATCTGTTTATGTAAATTTACTTCACATATATTCTCTCTTTATATAAATATTATTAACTTTTCCGATTTTTGTAATTAGATAAAATTTAATTAAATAATTGTTAAATAATATTTACGTGCAAAATATATATCTATAATAAAATATATTATGTAGAATAGTTTTAGCCCATATTTTGGCACTGCAGATCAAAAATCTAATAAGACATCTTAAAAATATCTTAAGATGTTTTTTATCTTATATGTCTTGATTTTGGATTCGTGTTGTGTAGACATTTTTTAAAATTTGGGCCAAATTTATTTCGACTCGTTAAAGTTACTTCTTTTTACGATATACATAATATATAAGTAACTTATATATTCAAAAATCAATACTGAAATATTGATTGTATTCTTGCATTTCAATTTTTTCACATACCCTTTGTATGTACATAAAATTCCATCTCCTCGTTCGAAAGGGAGAAAGTTTTTCTGCCGATTGTAACCCGGCCATGAGAATATATTGGCCCATCGATTTTACCATCTTTGCATAGCTTTGAGAGTATTTGAGTCGGTTTCATTGCATCTCTCCATTTATTATAGCCAGATCTGGAGCAGATATAACGTCTAATCGATTTCGTGCATCGAAATTGCGTTTTTGCATTTATTTCTTTTATCCAATATATTAGTCTAGATGTAGAAGGTATAATGTATTTTCCACATCACACACACGTGCAAGTGCGTGCGCACGAGACACACACACACACATATATATATACACACACACATACACAATGCAAAGTCTAGTGATATATGTACTACCTACAAATTATATAGCAAGCAGACAATTATAGTGTATAGTATAATGTAGTTCTGAAGGAAATGGTTTCAACGTAAGTGCGTGTTAAATAAGAGATTACGATGAAAAAGTATAGTTATTAGTCCTTGTTAAAAGTAGTGGATTCGCTAATTTTAGATACTAAATGATCACTACTGGTGTGATAAAGTCACTCTGTTGTTAGATTACCAAATTGCGTGACACGATTTATTTCATTGCTGGTAATGATCTCATTTGCCATTGTAATGTATAATGACATTATATAGGGTGTGTTCCCCCGAGTTAAATCTCGTTAAATATAAAAATTTAGGACCGCAAAACAAACAGAACTTTTTAATTTGAGTTTTACTCGCAAACACTTTGTTCAAGAGATATTGATTTGTTATATAAATTATTCAATTATAGGATCAAAATATCTCTCGATTTTGTTTACTTTAAAACAAAGTGTTTTAATAACTTTCAATCACTGAAATGGAGAATAGTGCAAACATGCGAAGAAATTACAGACACTGCAGTGTCAATCAAGAACTCGTTTATAGATAGCTGCAATGCAATGCGTAAGTCTTGTTTCAGGAATGCTAGCTATTATTTTAAATATGATAATAATAAATAATAATAAAACAGTAATAAATGTGATTTAATAATTATATTTTGATTACTGTAAAACAATAAAGGAGTTAAACCTAAATTATTTCGAAATTATTTATTCCTATATATAGTTTGTATAACTTAAGAAGTTAATATCGCTTCAACGAAGCGTTTACGAGTAAATCTTCTGAAGTAATTTCTGTTTGTTTTGAGTTCTGAAATTCATATTTTAAATTTAAAAGTACTCGGAAATACTTCGTATATGTGTAAAAATATACTCACTCGTCGTATTTCTTCGCCAGTCCGCATGTAGCTCTATGTCTACTGTAAAAGCGATTTTCCAGGTCGATCTTAGTCTCGCCGATCATATCATCTGTTCCGACCAAGTCCCAATCCAGGACTTGCACCGTCAGCAAAGAGTCCTGCGGAAATGTTGCCTCGATCTCGAAACATCTTGAAAGTAAATTTATAATTTGCACAGAAATAGTTTCAACTTTTAAAAATAAAAATTCACAGTAAACTAAAGGAGTAATAAGAAGAATTTTTGCAAAGTTTTATGTTTTACGAATCATAATTTTCTTCTAAGAAAGCATTTATTAAGTACAAGAATATAAAAAATAATATAATAGTAAGAAATAGAAAATGCGATTTTTAATCCGCTATGTGTAGAATAACTACATAATTTATTGAAATTCAAAATTTCAACGGAAAGATAATTTTCCTGAAAGTTTAAGCTAAGTCTTCATATTATTAAAATTCCTCTATAATTGTAAAAAATTATACGACTATTTGTAATGCTGTGATACACACAAAAACATACTTTCCAAAGACAGGATTCAATTGTTTCGATACGTAATTCTCTTTATCACTGATCCTCTTGCCTCCCAATTGTAAGACCACATAAGGATCCGCTTTCCCATTTAGATCGCAGGGATGAAGATCATTAGCTTTGACGATATACACCCGTACCAAGACGTGAATAGGCTCGTTTGACGGGACACCCTGGAAGAATCCATACTGTGGATCGAAACCCATCACAGTATGATCTACCAGATCTTTTGGTAACGGCCACTTGTAGACCTTCAGTGCGCCCTTGAAGCTGCCAACAATCCTTGATTCGTCCTCGGTCTCGTCACCAGTCTTTTTGCCTCGATATAGTTCGAAAGTGTGTAACCATTCTTTGAACTGCTCGAACTCGGGCTGCGCTTCCAGTTCTCCTGGATATATCTTCAGTAGGGCGGTCTTGTTGTACTTATGTTGAGTTTGCTTCGGACTGAGTCTCGAGACGAACTTCACCGCATTTGTTGGCGATTTCAGACCAAATAATTTCTTTGTCGAATTAATTCCGGAATTCTTCTCGCCTGAGGAGGCCAACTGATTTTGCATGACAGCTTCATCTAGGAGCATTGGTAGTGTCCCGTTTGGTTGATTCTGAAATATGGATTTCTCCTTACGCAATTCTTTGTTCTCTTCGATCATTGCTTCTACAGATGCGAAGTATTTTGTCCACCAATCTTGGCAGCCATCCCCATTCTCTAATGCACCTAAATCGCCTAAAAATGCAGCATATTTTAAAGATGCTTCACTTATCGTGTGTTATTTAAATTTAGATATTAATTAATAAAGAATACTCGAAAAATATTGATATATAAGGATTTAAATTGATAATAGATTTATCCGTCAACGCAACAATTTCTCATTTCTCTCTTAATATAGCATGATATAAATTTTATTTTATAACAACATATAGATGCTTAGATGCGTAAATTCAAATAAATACATATATCATCACAGAGTTCGATGTATTAAAAAATTATTGTAATTTTATTAATTGAAACAATAAATAATATGTTGAAATCTGTGTTTTATCTATTGTTATAGTATTAACGATCTTATAATATTACTTCACAATTATTAAAATGTTTTAAATAAATATCTTTACTTTAATCAGCTGAATGCATTTGGATGATTTAATTAAATACAATTTTTGTGAACACACCTATGTTATTATCATTAACTAAGCTTTGCTTCCTACGTAAGTTTTGCTCCGTTTTATCTTTCTTCGTAGGACCACACCCTAATTCGAATCCAAGAGTGATGGTGGTATCTCCATTGTTAGCTTCCAAGTCAGTCATTGATTCTAGTAATGACGTTTGTGGCAATTTTGATTTGGATTGCTCAAGAGCTGCAGTATAAACATATAAAGTCTTGAAATTAAAACTAGAAATATAAATATAATCTGCAAATAGCAAGTTATTTTTTAACTTATTAATTATTAATTTAATTAATTTTTAATGGCTAACATTTCAATAAATCGTTATAATATATAATATAATTTATTTTAAAACAAGATATTACTTTTTGAAATACAATTGAAACGAATATTCGTCATATTCTTCAATAACAGAATCACGTTATTATTCTAATAAACTTTAATTGTGTTATATTTATTTAAATTATATATATATATATATTGTTTCATATTCTCTGTTTATTCTATTTATAAAATTCTATTTGCGTAATCTTATATATACAATTTTAAAGTCTCGCAATTAATCGATTGATTATTTACCTGTGCATTGCAACTGATACAAACTCTTCTTTCTCTCTTGAGCATCCTTTGCTCTTTTGGTTAAAGGGTAGTACATGTATTTGTGAATTGAATTGATGGTATGAGTACCGACGAGGGTATATCTACCGAAACTCCGACAATCCACCGCTCTTATGGTCAATGGCGGTCGATAAAGCTCCTGTTCAGGAAGCTCTAATTCCAAAAATTTAATCGGTGTATTGAAATTCGGGTTTTTCTTCGCATTTGCTATGACAGACGAATAAAGAATGTGGCCGGCGCATTCAACATCCACACGTGGCTTGTCGACCGTTAGTAAATGGATTCTCTTCAAATCACGCAACCCCCAAAAGAGTACTTCGATTCTGAAAGTCAGTGTTGTGTTAATTAAGAGTGCCATAATAATACGTTTATTTATTTATTTATGGCATCATTATCTACAAATTAAAACAATCTTGCATTGTTTATAATTATATACAAATAATTTACTATTATAAAAAGAATAATGATTTTATTTTTTAAGTAAAAACTTGATAATGGATTAAATTATTATATACACACATCAATTGGATTTTTATATAAAAATGTAATCTTATTAATATACTATGTATTTCAAAAAATTCGAAAGATTTTTCTATTTGAGAAACTAAAACATACAAGAAGCTTTTAAATAAATGACAACGAAAAGCTAATAATGTACCGATATTTGGATAAAGTAGGTCGAATTCCCACGGGCACGGGAAGAATCGGGCCTTGATCCTGACCGGATCCTGGAATTTGGGATCCACAGCTGGAATCTTTAGGATCCGGCAAAGTAGGAAAGCCGTAATCTTTGGTAGAGGGATATTCTAGTAATTCGAAAACCGCCAGAAGTTCGCCAGCCCTCGAGGCTCCCCTGGTAACATCATACCATTCCAAAGACGGTGGATATTGCGGAGGAGTGTAAGACTCGGAGGCGAGTTTGACATGAGGTCGCGCAATCGCCCGACCGATGTACTCCGATTTTCCCTGAAATCGTAAAAACAGATTTTGATATGTCCGAACAAAGAGTGTTATTGATCGACCGTGTGACTACGAGGATGCGAGGAAACTGTGACGAGGACAAAATTGATCATATAACTCAATAGAGTCAAATTTAATTATGATTAAATTTAAGGCACTGTGAAAAAGTGCAAAATGGTGAAATTTCGGAATTTAATGGATATATTTAATATAATTTATAAAGCAAATTCTCTAGTAATTATTTTATAAAGTAATCAAAACGAAACTATATTAGAATTATCAAAGTGCTCAAATTTTCTAATTTAATGTTTATAACAAATAATCAATTTTAAACGATTGTTATATATTTATTAATTAACAACACGCGCGTATGTCACAATAAAATTACGTAATACGTTAGAATATTAGAAATTTTTTTAATACATTATTGTTTGTAAGAAACGGTTAAATTATTGCCAGCTTAAATTATATGCAGTTTAAATTATTGCATGGATGGTAATAAAAACTTTTGTGAAATAGAACAAAATTTTAACATTAGAAATAATTATAAATATATAATAAATTCTTTCAACAAATTCATCGAATAGATAAACATTTGTACATATTCTTCCGAAATTATATAAAAATTTTATTATTATAAAAATATTCTTATTGACATATATCCTTTTTCCAATAACAACGTAGATTCGTCTGGGCATATTTTATGATTGAAATATAAGAATATTGATACGTAGAGAGATGTATCTATTTAGCACAATATGAAACCAAGTAAGGTAAAGGGAAGTATGCATCATTTGTGGTTGTGCGGTTGTGTGGGTAGACTTTTCATCAACTATCGCAGCAATTTCACGACTTGGAAACTTGCAGTCTTCGGAATTCTGAGTTTGCGAATTCTGATATTGCACAAGTTTATCTATATCCTAACATATAAATATCGAGTGCCATGCCAAGCGTATATTATGTGTATTTTAGTGTGTTCTATAGGAACACTAGTGTGTTTCCGATGTGGGTGTTGTGTGACGTGCATTGTGTTATTCGGCATCGTATAAATGTCAATATGTTTTATACAAACTGTCAAAGCAGAGCCCTCATGCAGTTTTATGTCCATAGCTACAATATGACTCTGTAAAAAAAATTATTACAAAATCATAGAAGCGACTATTTTTTTAGTAACGTAAATACCATTTAATTAATTCTAATCAAATTTAATCTGAATTTATAATTAAAATAAAATATTTTTCATCGATTTATGCATTGACTATTTTTTATTCTGGATATTAATCGCACATAAAGTGAAATTTACATATTGATTTTGTTCAAAAGCTATCTAATTATTCGAAATAATAATTAATTAATAAATTTTTTAAATACATAATTACTTTAAATGCATGACTACTTTATAGTAAAACATATTAAACACATAATTAGCTTTCGTGAACAAATAGATAGTAAATTTTAAAAATAATACATAGAAATTATCTTAAGATAGAAAAAATTATATTTACGTAATTGAATGATAATATAATTAAGTGAGATTGTTTGACTTACCACTTTATCCTGATCAAATAGCTCGATGACGATGGAAGGTGGATCTTTCTTGATTTCTTCAGCGATGCCGTAGATTAAGATGTCGTCAAACAGCAGCAATTCGTCCCATGTTGGACTGAGGGTCTCGTCAATCACTTGAGTGCACTTACAAAACTCACCACAGATAACTCTCGCAAAAGGATCCGAGAGACCAGACGCATCGCTGCCGATCAGCGATCTCGCTTGATACATGTGAGCTCTTAATTGAAATTTCTGGCAAACAATTTAAAATAGCAGATTTATGCATTTATTTGATGATCTGTGCGAAAAAATACGAAAGAAACACATACGTGTTTCTGAACGTAGTGAATTACGGTAGGCGGTAAAGCGCGAGGCCTGTCCACATTCCTCAATTCGTGACTGATTTCGTATCCCTTCGGTAAACCTTGAATGAAGTACTTCTTGTGCTTCAATATTCCTAGCCACATGTAGATCTGTAATTTTGTTTGGATCGCCCATCCCGAGGGTCCGAATCTTTTTTTGCCTGGGAGCTATACATAGATTCCATATTCAAAATGCGAAATTAGTATAAAATTGGATGCATATATTTATCAACATGCATATATTCTCCAGGATTTTTATTTTACATTTCTTTTTATTTTATCCGTGTATTATAAAATGTCTCAAAATAAATATTGCAACGTTTATAAAATAAATAGTACAATAATCGCGGAGGACGTGAATTGCATACAGATATTTCCAGCGTATAATTACATTTTACAGAGAGATTTAACTGTAGATAAAAAAATTAATTGTTTTAAACTTTTTAGTTGTATCACTTTTAAAAGTAAGCAATACTATATAAAAAAATCGACATTACTATATGATACCTTCAGTACATTTATTTACCTTAAGGAACATAGTCTGTACTTTTCCGCAATGTCGGCCACATTCTTCGTCGACCACCGAGTAGATTAGTTCGCGACCTGATATTCTCTGGTACGCTACTCGTCTTCCGGAGCTGATCACCCAGATGAACACATCCGGCAGAGAGTCTTGCGGCTGCAAAAAGAATCAAACAATTCCATATGATAAAGCACATACGCGATGGCACTTATGTTTTATCAAATGGTATTGCTTGAAAAACTACTATACTGACATCGTCGACGAGAAACTTTAACTTTTGCAGGTAACTGTGAGCTGTCTTCAATCTTTCTTTGAAGCTGCTTTTAGTCACGAGAGCTTTGAGGTTGCGCGATAAAATTCCGATATTCTCCATCTCCCGCTGACATAATTTTGTACGCTCCTTGTCCAGCTTTGTTTTTCCGACGCCCGGGCCGGTCACGCTGGACTTGCTAATACTGACATATCGATTACAATTCGCGCTGAGTTCCTCGAGAGTAGACTTTAAAAGCTTTTCACACGTTGAGTCTTCCAAGTGCGATTGAACCTCCGACAATCCTTCTTCCTAGAGAGAGTATAAAGAAAAAGCTTTATTGGTTTTATGTAAATCCTCTTAATTGACAACGCTGTGATCTCTTCATCTCATTCAAATAATCATGTTTCCGTTAAAAATCTGATTTCCCTAAGAGAACTTTTCGAGATGTCAGATTTAAATAAATACATTCCTCACATAATTCTGACAAAATAAATCTGAACATTTAAAAATTGTCGAATTAAATGATTAACATCAACTTGTGAAGTAATATAGTTTTATTTAAAAAAAAATCTTTATCTTTTTGCACACATTAAATTTTATTGAGTATTTAATAAATATCTATTTATTATATTTTAACGCGACCAACGAATTAATTTTGATTGCTTAATTTAATTATAACAATAAGTTTGACCAAACACGCAGCTGTTTAAAAAAAAAACACTATGTACAATCTATAAGTTAAGGCGGTAGTTCTAATCTAATTAATAAGTTTAAGCCGCTTACCAGTTTATCGACAATCTTGCCAATAATATTACTGTTATACATTCGACGTCTATAATCCGGCCATATGCTTCGTACATGAAGACATGGCTTGTCGTCCCAGTACGGTAAAAAATAATAAATTTTATCGTGCGTCATTGGTTTACTAGCCGGTGTGGTACTTTGCCAAGATCCAGCGAGAACTTCTTGCAGGTCTTCCTCTTCCCCGCTTGTTCCACCTTTCATATCATACATCTAACAAGCGAAACGAGCGCGCGTTTTTACAAATAAAATTAACATTTTTATAAAATTTTTTTCAACTGGAGGAGAGTTACTGAATGCGTACCACTTAACCTATTTTTTTGTATTATATTTTTCATTTTGTACGCAAATGAACATTAGAAATTGTAAATTGAGGGACAAATATTGATAAAGTACGATGTAAGCTACCAGTACGCATTCGGCAATTTTCCCCTACACACTTATTTCTTCCTTCTTAATAAAAAAAGTGTCTCCGAAGTAGACCATTTTAAGATAAATTCTTTTCTTTATTAAGAAAATTTTCAAGTTTACTTTCTAGAGAATTTATCATATAAATTCGTTCACCTTGAAACTTTCATTGTGACCATCGAGAGCGTTACCCGCGTTTCCGATCGATATTTCAAAGTACATCGGCTTATCGCCTAGCTTCTTGTCAATCATCGTAGCGTCCATGATTGTGGCATATAAGAAAAATTCTTCATTCCTTGCGTAGGCGGTTTCGTTGACTGGCACCGTTGGCTCCACTTCGACTTCCGACGGTGCTATTTCCACGTTATCGGTAATCTCGGTTCGTATCGCTATCAAAAGTCTAAACAAAGAATAAAAAAATATAAATTATAATTTCACATCTCATTCTACGTTAACTTTTTCCTTTTGTATTTGATTTTGCTTATTAATTAATTATTGATTTTATTATTATTTGTAATTAACAATCATTTAATTATGTAATATATAAAATAACGTCCTCATTTTAACCACATTAATTGTATTATTTACATTGTATTATTTATAATTGTGATAATTTATAATTGTTTCATTATAAACTAAAATGCTGCACAACCTCGCTCTATATGATATTCCTTCGCCCAAGCCGGTATTCAACGTCGAGTGTTCGTCTATGAGACTGTAATCTCTGATGCTACCATAAAGATGGATAAACGCCGGACCAAAGGTCGGCAGGAAGCCCTTTTCACCATCGTTGCTGATCTGCTTAAGGTCGATGAAGTGTGTACCGATGACGGTGGCGTGTACTGGGTCGTTATCGCATAATTGTATCTTTATCCTCTGACATAGGGGAGGAAACATCTCGGTAAAAACTATTTGTTCGTTCCATATTGGAGCATAACTGTGCCTCTTCACACTTGTTTTCCCCTGAAGTGTCATAAATAGAAATATATACTAGATTGTCTTTGACATCTAGTACACTTCATTTAACGTCACTATGTTTTAAGTAGATTTAATAATTTTGCACGCGGAAATAAACTAATACCTATTAGTTTTCAACTTTTAATGATTCTGTCAAAATTGTGTGTTGTGGGAGCAAACTATATTGATAATGCAAAATCGTGTCGCGACAATATTATAACTTCTTAAATTTGATGACGCACCGATTTAACTTCGCCACAACGAGGTCAAGGGACATTATTGCTCTTCGCGTATAATACAATAGATTGTTATTAAGGGTACAACGATTAAGGAGGGACAATTAAAAGAAATTATTGTTATTTTTTCTAAGTTTTTCAAATTTAAAAATTATGCATATATTTACAAAAATCTTTTAAGTTTAGAAAATGTTTGTGCGAAAGAAATAATTATGCAAAATGAGGATGAATCTGAAAATAAAATTCGTCAAACAGAACGGAAAAAACGATTTTATTAAAGTATCTAAAACTTAGTTGGTTAAAAATAATTTAATTGAGTTATCATTATATATATGTATATATATAGTTATATGTAGGATTCTCAAATTAGTTATCAGAATGTTAAAACCTTTTGCAGCATTATGCTCTTGACTTTCCAACATTCTTAATTATTTTGATAATCCAACAAAATTATTTTCAGATCTGTATTTACCTAAATTTTTACCTAAATTTCAGCAAAATTATTCTCTTTTTATTTATTTTTAATAATATAGAATTTTCGTACAACACTCTTAAATTATGTCGGGAGATCATAAGAATATTAAAATAACATGCAAGTTTGTTCTTTTTGATTTGAACTTTTGCACCAATTCAGCCAAAAAGAACAGGTCTAATATGTTAACAAATGCAACGATAATTAAATAGATACTTTTAAATAAATTAATGATATCAAGATTACTCAAATAAGAATATATCGCTTACGCTGAGTCCGGCAAAAGACACTTGAACGTATGGATCCACTAAATCCTTCACTTCTCCCGTAAAAGCTTTCTTCACGTTTGCCATAATACTGCTGTTCATTTTTGGCAAACCGTCAGCTCTGTAGATCTTCACCACGAATTTTGCGCGTTGTCTCTCAATTGGCACACCGTCCGGTAATAAGAGGTTGCCTTCGATGTCATCCTCGTCCTTTTCACTTTTTGGAGGAATTTTCACGGTATCACCCTTACCAATAACACTTATGTCACATTTTAGATAGCCTTTTGGTCCACCGGCAACGTCATCCGGATCGGTGAGGAGGGCCCATTTATGATAGAATTGATGATCTAAGGATAAAATGACGTTGATTTGTGATACACGATGATTCATCAAAAGAAAGGACATGAATTTACAATTAATTCAAGGAGAGTTTACCATAAAAAGCGACATAAGACACAATGTTACTTAGAGACAAAATATTTAGCACAAAAATTTGACATTTTGTATCTTTAGAAAACAAAGCATTTTTATAAATATATTAATATATATAAAGCTATTATGTTTGCGAGGAAAAATAATAGTGCCAGAATAAATATTATAAAAGATTAAAAATAACTTTGATATAAATAACTTTGTCACTTTTATTTTATATTGTGCTTTTACGTCCGTTTTTCTGGGTAAACTCTGGTTTTTAATTTACAACTCGTAATTAAACAGTTACTGAGAAATTGACAGAGAGAATAAGCTATAAGAATTGGAAAGAGAGATCTGCAAAAAACAACCAGTAAGCTTTGTTCTTTTTAAAGCATGAAATAGATGCAAGAATTACAATTTTTATTTCAATTTTTTGTCTTTGTGGATTTATATTTCTGTCGAGATTTAAATTGAGGATCCAGAGCAATATAAACAACTCCCTTTATACATTCAAACATTTATTTTTACTATCTTTTTTGAAAATGCTCGATAGATTTATCTGAAAACCACGCGCATCTCTCATGCAGTAATAATTACAACTGTATTCAAAGCACATAGACGAATAAAGGTATCAATTAAAAATGGTATAAGATGCAAATTGTTTTATGTTTTATCAAACGCGCGCAATCATCGCTTGTGATGTATTAATTCGATGCATTTTCTTCTATATAAATAAGCGAAAAATATCTGATAATAACATTGGATGATGCGCGCGTATATTATGCAACCTTATTACTAATGCAATTAAACAGCGTACGATTACATTATAATAGCGCAATCGATACTCTCGAGACCTTTAGCCTCTTAATATGTTATTAGTTTATTTAAGTTTATTAGAGCATCGATTACAATATCAAAATAAACACAATGTAACCTCTATATAGTTAGTGAAATAGGAGATTAGTATTATATACAATATATTATACGATATTATTCGCAATGCATAGGACTTTCCTTAAAAAGGAAATACAAATTGTCATGAAGATCATCAATATTTTAAAGTAAAATGTTTCACGAATTAAACTATACTTAATTGCGATAAAATTTTATATAAAGAAATTAACAAATTTTATTGTTAAAATATTACCTAATGTTAAAAATTGCAATTTAAAGTGGATGACATTTAATGAAACCTTCAGGAAAGATTATTTTCAAACTTATAGTCTATTTAATCAAAAGAATACGTGTAATTTTGAAAAACGTATCTTAACAATGAAAAAAATTTAGAAACGTATTTATGATCGTTAAGTTCATAACATTTTCAAGGTGAGCATCACAAGCGACTTTCTGTCAATACGAATAGTCAGACCAAAAAGAATCGATGTGAGTAATTGGAGCGGAAGTTCATCCATTCACGAGCGATTTATTATCTCCATGTGACCGTACGAGCGACCGTAAAATTTTTACCTGTGCCATACGATACTTTAGTGTGTGCGAGAACGGGTGGTTCAGGATTGAGCGTACACATTTACGATATGTACATGCGTTAGAACATCCATACGTGGAGGTAAAAAAATCTAGCATGCGGACTCGCGATAAAAATAGAACATTTGTTTTCGCAACGAATGTCGAATGTAACAAATGATTGATGATATTTTTTTTCACCGGTAATCCGCAGTTTTTCCTAACAATTTCCTTCGATAAATTGCTATCACACACGATAACGCTAGATTTCAACGCTACAAAGCACGTTTCAGAAAGTTGTATTGTGCTAATTGACAGAAGAAATCTTTTCGCATTGGAAGATTGCAATATATTCCATTTTAAATGTATTGTTCTATTTGCAAATGGGCATGTCTGCTAATTACGCATCTCTCTGCATAAGAGTGCTCTGGCTTTGAAAACGCCTTTACGCAACAGGATATGCTAAAAGCGATATACACGTTCATCAACAATTTAAATTGGTTGCTCATTTGCAAACGATTTTGCATATAATAATTGAAACGTACAATGGAGTTTTGAAGTATAAATAAAAATACACATTATAGAATACCAAGAGATAAAACACCAATGTTACTAACATATGTGTGTTGATTATTACTACTGACACAAAAATATACATAAATTTACTACTATAAAAATGAGATTAAACACATATTTCTGCAAAGTTAGTTAATACTTTTAGGCAATACATACATTATCAACAACTTGTTTGCTGATTAAGTTCAACAAAGAGAAATAATTTGTAACAAATTTGGTTTGATTTTCTTAAGCATGCAATTATCTATATAGTCACGAAGCGTGAAGTTTATAGTACTTTCAAGGAACATCTTAAACAGAACCGTGAAGCGATTAAGAAAATTAACGAGATTGAGATTAATGGGATTTTCTCATTAGAAGATAGTATATATAATGCATTTTACAGTATAACAAATTTCTATGCTTCTCCAAATTCTTGAAGTTAGCGTAAGAGAACATTTTCCTTGTAAACACGGGATTCTTCGGAACTTTGAAGATACAGTGCAGAGGATGATGTAATAAAGACTTTGTTTCGAGAGAATTTTCCGATAAAATGAAATGCACTTGCCAGGGTCGCATACCGAGTCTCATACCAGGTGTATTACTTGAAAATTTATCCGCGCGTGACGATAAATTTTTTTTTAAAGTAGTCTTAAATATCGGGATATTTAAAACAAAGAAATTTCGGCTGCAATCAAAATCGCATTGCGTATTATATATACCTATATATACATATATATATATAAGCATTTGAGATACAATCGATTAGTATACATTTTGATATTTGTCCATTTGGTATTTTCAAAACTTCTTATTCGTATTTAGATAGATAATTTATATTTTAAATAATATTTTTTAAACACTAATAATATACTTAATATTTTGCATATATATTCTTTAGTGTATTTTATCGATTGTATACCAGAACTATGTAGAATATTTCGTTCCGGATGGTTTAAATTTTTCTCGGAGAAGGAAATTACTCCGAGTATACACCCAGCATTAGACTCGTCTGGTCTCTGGACAATGTGAAACCTGTACCTGGTTGTGCCCATACCGTCGCGATGTCTAATTTAAAGCTGCCCAGCGTTAGATTAGCGCGCAAGAGATTCCGCGATTGCTGCACCTGCATATTATTAAAAGATGTGCTGTTTGAGCTTTTCTTTCTCATCCCCTCTTATTACGCATTCTTATCTTGATCGTCAAGTGTTTGATCTGTTGTCTAATATTTGTTCGCCAGTTATAATTCCCAAACGGAATTTAAATGTTCTTTCCTTCAAATAATCGATTTCCAATATTTATCTATATGTATATATACTCATTGAATGTATTTGCGAGGGACAAAGATGTAATGAAGCAAAATTATTCAGCTCATTTATCGCGCGGCTAACTCCATATTCCAAATGTACTAAATATATCAGTGGGCAAATTAATTAAATCTTCTGAGTTCTAAACCATGAATTAATACATGCGGATAAACTCACCGACAGCGTAATAATTTTATCGAAGAGCATAACAGGCGGCATGTGGAAATCGAAGACAAAGTACTGAAAATATAAATGAGAGAAAATATTTAGTAAGAGGGAAAAAATTCATTAATACATAAATAATAAAATAATAATAATGATAATAATAATAGTAATATGTATGTCTTCGGAAATGATTTCATTTCTCCGAAATAATTGCAATTTTTAATAATTCAAGAGTTATGAAAAATCAAAAGCTCTGTAAAAAATCATTATCTCATTTTATTAATAGTTTTACTTAATTACTCAAATACTCAAATTCAAATTTTAATCAAGTACTCAAATTCCCCTGTCACATAAATCTGATAATTAAACAATATGGTCTGTAAGCAGAACGTGCTTTTATCAATAAATGATTTTATATTTTTTAAATTTTATATAGTATATTTAATATGAATTATATCTATATCAATAACTTGAGACAGACTTAAAATATATGCATCAAATATAGGAACCGACTATGAATACTGCTTCTTACTTCGTTGTAATACGGGCAATTTGTGGACTCCTTGACGCTTGTATATTTGCGTTGATCTCCGATTTGTACGCACACCACTGGATCCATATTGAGACCGGCGAGCTGTCGCGCTTCTATGATCGTAACGCACACTTGATAATCTTGAGCTTTTAACGCGCTTTGCCAAGTATCGCTCGTCTGTGAAACGAGAAAAGTTCGCGTTTATTTAACTCGGTTTAAATAGCTTGAATTGCAAGGCAGAATCTGAAACGGGGCACGTGCCGTTGAATTCTGAGAAGTGTTGCGTATATATGTACAACGCTTCTTGTAATCTAACAAAGAGAAAGAAAATATGCCCTTATTATCTTTCAACTATGTTTTCAAAGCGTAACTTACGTGTATGTATATATATATATATATATATATATATATAGTAGTTTAACGTTTAAAATTATTTAATCAGAAAGCTATATTAAATAACACGTTTTAAACGTAATAGTAAAGACCAAAAAAATTTGGTCGACCATAAAAGATGTTCACATTAATGGATCAAATTTAAGAAAAATTTTCTCCATAAAAAAGCTTTTACGGTGTATTCTTTCTATGTAGTTTAAAGTGAAGTTACATGTATCTGTTCAACATAAAGGAAATTCTCTCTATTATTCCGTTTCTCTCAAGAAACATTAGAAGCTCCGAATGAAATTTCAGTAACCGTATTTTTAAAATGATCAAGATTTAACTTATTTCATTTTGCAAAAAATAAAGAAGCATTCTTCAGTAGAGCTTTGGATATTAACAAGAATAGCATTTTCCTTTGATCTTTAGTACATGTCGACAACTGCATTTTCCTTGTTAACTCCATTTGCTCCTTTTTTTTTTGACCGCTAGCTTTGATCTATACCATATAAAATATTATGGTCTTATGAGTACACAGAATAAACTTATTAACTAATTTTTTGAGACAATTTGATTTTTAAATAATTCATGGTGATGACTCGAACGCGTTCGTGTTCTTGCCTCGGTCTGAGTATCGCATCGATAATCGAGTTTGTATTAAACACAGTGGTAATGTGTAATATTTGATCTCCGCTAAAATTATTATAAATGTAACATGTAATCATAATACACAGTACTGGTCAAAATTAGTATATCATTTTTAGACTTTTTCGAGAATAACTTGGTTTAAAGTTCATGGATCTTTATTATATTTTGATAGTAGGTACCTATAGCTTACTAGACAAATAACTTTTCATCAAATAATGAAAATAATAATAGGTGAAAAAAATAGATTTTATTTGAAAATGTGTTGTTTATAAAATTAATAAAACTACTAAAATGAATTTTACTTCAATTTCAAAAACAAGTTAAAATGAATGGCAAATAAAATAATATAAGGACTACTGAGAGTGCAGCAAACGTAGCGTAAAAATTAAAAATTGGAAAATTAACTTTGAACTATATCATAGCAAGTCTAAATTTGTGAATATTGCAATATTGTGAAGCAGTAAACTAATCACCAAAACCAATTTGTAATTGTAAAAACAGCAACAAAATAAACGAAAAACAAAAGAAATAAAAAAATTCCATTTTATGAAAATCAATAGAGGTTTCAAAAATCATAATGTATTTTGTCAAACTTTATCATACATATATCAAGATGCATCTTCCATTAGATGTTTAGTATAAAATTTTTATAACATTCAATTTACACTGACGGAAGTTATGCTCAGAAAACCTAAAGATAATATACTTTTTGACAATAATACATATATATTAAGCATTTATGGTATTCTAATATTGGGAGGAACGCTTGTAATATTGTTACAAATGTAACATTTAATGTATATGTTTCAACAGATGCCTGCTATATTTTATAATTTAAAAAATTGCATGTGTTTTGTTAAAGTTGTTGAAAGTTACTTATAATAAATTATACGAGCTACATATGGAAGCAACATAAAAAAATATATGAGTACATGTAAAGAGAAACTTTATAAAAATTATTTCACGTATTAATTATGTTACACAAAGTATTTATAATATTCTAATATTTAGTTTTTAATTAATAAAATAATTTAAATAAAAATAAATTGCAAAAGTGACATACTACATATTTACATTAAATTAAATATTGCTGTATTAATTAATATAAAATAATTAATTGAACGACAAGTTCTATGTAATTTATTTTTCATTTTTACAATAGAATTAGCTATTAGTGATCAATTTATTTTTTTTTTACACATTCTTTATTAAATTGCATGATTGAAAAATTAATTTAATTTAAGTATAATGAATTATATTATATTATTATATTCAATATATATTATATTCTCTTTTTTGTAATAATTATAAATTGAAATAATAAATAACTACATTAATGCAGAGTGCGTAAATAATTATTTTGTGTTAGAAAATTTAAGATCTCTGTGTGTATCGATTAATAAATCAAAGGAAAATATTTCTACCGTATTTTTGTAAAATATTTCTAGAGAAAACTCTCGCTTTATGTAAAATGATTACGTGCACGCGTGAAATGTTGTAATATTTTCTCAAATATATGTATAAATTCGCTATGATATCGAAATTGCTTGTTGCAAAAAGAAAATAAAGATAATTTTGCGTAAAAATTTCGCTCACTTTCCTCCCGTAATTTAAGCTTGCTCTGTTAGAATCGATCGACCACAATCTCATTGAAAGATAATTGCATCGTCATTTACGGATAATTGCTGCGTCAATGTTATCGTAAAATGTTTAATACAATTTGCTGTAACGTTTTGAAATTACTTTATATTGCTAGAACTACGTTTCCTCTAAAAACATCTATTTAGTAATATTGTCATCAGAACAAAAAGATAAAGAGTAAGTAACATTTTTGTTGCAATATTAAAGTTTAAATAAGAGTAAAGATAAAAGTAAATAATAATACAGACTTATAAAAAATATAATATAGATGAAAAGATATTATAAACGCAAAACTTTTAATATAAAAATAAAATAAATGTAAATATATTATATATACAAAATGTCTATTTGACATAATAATTATTTTTGAGTTTTTGTGTTTTCAATGCACTATTATGTAAGATATTACTCGGTCTATAGTAATAAATAACTCAAATTCTGTATTTAGTGCTCTGATTAACATAGGTAACATGACATAAATCATTAATCATTGATATTAGAGGTATTATATACAACCTTAGGCTTGGATCTCTTGGCCGGTTTTACAACTACTTCCGCCTGTTCAGGATTAGCGCTTAGCTGACTATCGTTATCGGAAGCATTCGTTTCGAGGGATGTCATAGAGTTTGTTCGCGAAGGCTCATTCGAAGTTGGACAGCTGGAGTCCTGTCTATCAAGAAGTTCTCTCGTTTCCGAGTTGCTGTCACAGGATCGAGTACGTGGGGGTCTCTGCTTTCCCAATTTCAGCAGGGATCGCACGCTTCTCAAAGTGGTACTTCTAAAGGAAATGGACCCATGAAGGAATTCAATATATCAATATACCGGAGAACAATTTTCTGGAAATCAATTCTTATTGTATAATTCATATTGTAAGAATTGCTTCTATCTAGACGCAAGATGTTTTCTAAAAATCAATAAAATTATTGTGCGACTTAAGATTGATTGAAATATAATATATAATATTGGGTAATTATAATATATAATTTAAAATAATATATTTAGAATAGATGTAATTCTTTTTTTACCTATCACATTCTTTTGCAACGTTTTATTGTTTGATATTACAAGCAAAAAGAGAAAAATAGAGACAGAAAATTTTTTTTTAATTTATATTTCCTGGTTTAAATATTTACTAACTTTAGTAGATACGAATTTATTTTTGGTTTTATTTCTTTGTATTATGCTTCGCAACGTATAAAACATAACTTTTCTCTTTTCCAGGTGACTCGGAAAGTGGCTTTCTAGCACCTTATATCGTTTCCGTCGGGTTTCTTGCCGTTGCACACCGAGAACTTCGGTGATCTCGACCCGATGACGTCGCTCACTTTAAGCCGCAATAACCGTAAACACACAACGGCGGATTAAAAATACCTGATATTGCAAAATGCTCAAATTACATTTTAAATCTTCTAACCTGTAAAGTAATTCTGACAAAACAAATAAGATTTCAAGAACAAGATAAGTTTTTAACTTTTACATATTATTAAATAACTTAAGACAAAGCGAATATATTATAAATGCATAGATGTTTAATAACTTTAAATTATGTTTATACTTGCAAACTACATTTTATATTTTAATTAATTCATTTATTAGCATTTTATAAAATTATTAAAAGCTTGAAAAAATAAAGTTTCAAAAACTCGAACAAAATTACAATCCCAACAAGCAAAGTCTTTTTTTCTATAATCTGTCGGTGAGAAGATTTGTTGTACTACTAGCTGAAACGGGGACAAAACTGACGAGGGATTCGAGTCCCATGATATGTCGTATTCGTGTGCTGCTTCGATCCTCGTCGATTATAACGAGGGGAAACCTGTGGGCGGTTTTGCGAATGAGGATATGTCACGGGCATGTTATTACGCGTATGGACGATCACGAGTTACATTCGATTACGTCCTCGCGTTGAGAGGTAGCGACAGAAATTGCCATGACGTTCCTAGGGGAGTTTAATTCTCTTGCGAGATATAAAAAATAGCTTTCCTTCCAACGCGTCTGGATAAGATTCTAGTAATACCTATATGAAGTAGTATAAGCTACAGTCTCTTTTCATTCTGAGAAGGTAAAAGAAAAATAGAAAAATATGAGACCGACTTAACGAGATCAAAAAAATTCTGTAGCAAAAAGTTATTTGTTACGAAGTTGCTTGAAGTTTTGATATATCTAATTTATAATAAAAAATATTAAAACTAAAAATTATTTATTTCTCTCTCTCTCTCTCTCTCTCTCTCTCTCTCTCTCTCTCTCTCTTTCTTTTCGTTGTTCAAAAAGTTTTTGTAATGTTATGCTATTAATTTATAGAATATTTATAGCTACCATCGAACATGTATATTCTCGCTTAGAACATTAAAAAAGAAGCTTTTCGATTATAAACGATAATATAAGTTTTTAATGTGGTTTAGTAATAAACAATAAAGGAATTAAAAATGAGTATATACCACGAACGCTGGATAGATTTAGCGAAATTATATTGTATTTCGTAGAATATTAAAACGCAATTTTTATTATTATTAGTAAACGATTCGGCCTTTAATATGACCATCATCGGTAAACAAAGAAAAATTAATTTAATATATTGCGAAGAATATTACTTAAACATGGCGTTTCGTCTCAGCTTCCACTACTAGACTCGTCAGTAAGGCATTGTAGTTAAAGGCCGAATCGTTTACTAATAATAATAAAAATTTCGTTTTAATATTATTCTACGAAATACAATATAATTTCGCTAAATCTATCTAGCGTCGTGGTATATGCGCATTTTTAATTCTTTTATTCTTTACGATTATCTGTTCACAATTAACACTTATAGTTTTGTAACGTTTATATTAATTCTGCTTAAATTCAACGTCTTGTAACTTACGTATTCTTTGTCCTACATTCAGCGTTTATTAGTTTTATGTTATTTACTTTATTTTATTTTATTTATTGACTCTCAACATTTTATTTTATAAGATTATTACTGCTCTATGAATTTTTCAATGACCGATTTTACTATTTTAATTGTTTGACTTGCAACATCATGATAAGAGGAAGTGAGAATGCCACTATGTATATAAAACAACATTTTGTAGATTTCCATTATATTTTATAATAATATATTTACTAGCTGTAACATTGAGAATATGACCCGATCGGTGTCGAAACTTTTTGTTATGTAATTATTTTTTTATGTAATTTTGTTATGTAATAATTTTTATTTTTATGTCTTTAAATTAAACGTTTTTTATTACACACATATAACTGGCTCTTAGCTCTTCAATTATTCTATTTTATTTTATTTTACTTTATTTTTATTCTATTACATTTTTTTATTAGTTCTATCGTATTTTTCTTAAAATAGTATATCTTAACATATACCTCGTAAGTCTTAATTCTTAAAGAGAATTTATTCCGGCACACTTAAATAAATAATGATGCATTATTATCATCATTATCATCACTCTCTCCCCCCCTCTCTCTCTCTCTCTCTCTCTCTCTCTCTCTCTCTCTCTCTCGATATTAAAGATAAATGGAAATTTCCAACTATCACTAATATTATATACAAACATTTATATTTTATTGACAAATTAATTTTTACAATTTTGAAAACAAATTAATTTTATAGCGGTTTATTTAAGATACTTATAAAATTTAACAAATTAAAAAGATTATTATAATAATATTCTCTGTAACACACACACACACATATATTATACACATGGCTAATATATCTGAAGAATGGTAAGTATTTTATATTTCTTGCCTTATACTAATATCTTATAATAATAAATGACTTTCATATTTTACGTATTACCCAGGGTATACATACATGTACAAAAATAATATTATGTATCTCAAGTTTGTCTCCCCTGACCTTTCTATCGTAAAAAGGTTTGCCTAGATCATCGTGATAACGAACTTTAACACATCATCGACATTGTCGACAGTATCGAACGCTCTATCGCTCTTATTGAGCAATATTTTCACGTTTCAGTGACGATGATACGTAATATCACATAGTGCTTAATAATGTCGAGAGCTGCCGGTTAATTAAAATAGTAAATTCGTAAAAATTAATATACAAACATAAGTCCCTTTAATTAACAATGCATTTAAAATTTATTAAAATTTTGAAATTCTTTGAAATTTTTAACGGAAATTTAAATGCAATAAAAAATAGTTGCAATTTGTGGAACATAAGAGAATGAAAAATAAATTTTAGAAAAATCGAATGCAACATTTTTGAAAAAATCAAGATAATCAATAGGCTCATATGAATAAATCCAAAAGAAACAATAAAAATGCCAATTTGAGTCGACACAAGTTATCGGTATATCTTTATACATAAAATCTTTATTCAAAATAAACAATAAATACGTTTTGATCCTTATTCTGGTCCTCTTCAGTACAAAAGAAAATTAATTAAATATAAATCATGAAGTATAAAAAGCCTTAATGATAATGTCCAAAATCAAGTCAAATCTTGTGATCATCAAATTCATTTTTGAAAAAGTGGATATGATATAAACAAACCTTCTGAAAATACATTATTAAATTTTTTTTAAAATTTTAATCATTTGAATAAAATAAAAATTTGGTACAGTTTACACATTTCGGCATACAAAATACTTTAGGATTATGGGATAATAAATCTTATTACAAGAATCACTTTTGTTAAGAAACTGTTTTTGCCGATGCATTTTTAAGTAACGTATTTTATGTTGGATCACTTTCGTAAAGTACCTAATCGATTGCATAACACTGAGCATAAAGCGCTTTACAATATTGTTGTGTTTTTGCTGAAATAAAATTACAAAGGATCAATATTGTCAGACATCACATGACCTGACACGTAGTTTCTTAAAATGCCAACATTGATTCCTTAATTTTTTTAGACATCTATCAACCCCCAAAAATTATCTCGTAGGTTATATGAGTATATTTACATTATTAGAAGTAGATTACAATATTAGAAGTAATGTAATAAAAGAAAAAATAATTGTGTCAATAACATATCAATTATTTTGCACAAATGACTAAAAAGTATGTATATTAATTTCTACTAAAAAAGATGTTTTTATTTCTTTTTTTGTAATTCCGAGTTCAAATTGTAAAATATGATTTTTATGCTTTTGCTAACATGTGAAAGTAAACGTTAACGAAGATACATCACGGGATAGGTATCTCGTGAAAATGAACATGAGATGTGAAACTCCTAAATATAACACGTCATGTAGTTCCATGCTGTTCTAGGGTTAAATTAAATGAAAAGTTGCGTTTCAAGATAAAGAGTAAGTTTCAAGATAGAGATTTTATGTTTTACAATATATTTATCTATGTATCCATGTATAAAAGTCATAACTACGATTTTCACATTTTATGTAACAATCTTCTTTATTTTTTATATTTTTATAAGCGCATGAAAATATGTGATAACATTAATATTTGCAATCATTATTTTATTATAAATAATTGTATATAACGCAGTTAACGATCGATTAGTTTTTTTTTCATTTTTAACTTCAAATTATATCAATTTTGTATATAAAATCAGTAGAAATTTATGTAATTTATAGGTTTAATCGCATTTATGTCTTGCATGGTATTTGAAATATAAATACGTAATTTAAATAATAGTTTACAAAAGAAATTTAACAATCCATATTTGAATTTTGCGATTAAGTATTATGCATGAATTCTATACTAAATATTGCTGTTCACATATCAGCATAATTAAACTGTGACAAAATTAAACGTAACTAAAGATGCAGTAATAAAATTAGAAATTTTAATAGATAATCTTGACAAAATATGTATACGTAGTATTATCCGTACAATATTACGCATTATAAAACACAACTTTTTAAATAAATTTTGTACATTCTTATGAATAAAAGTATGAAACTTTACATGCATATATATATGTTTCCCGTTGGTTTAGTATTATTTGTTGTCAATATTTAACTTCGTTTTTAAATAGAGTTATCAGTTTACAACATAAATATAGTAGGTAGTTCAATATATGAATAATTTGACGTATATGTAGTTAGCGTTAGTCCCCTTGGCGATGTACTCTCGTGTAATATATTTTGATGTAATTTAGTCGGAATGACGCAACCGTATCTCGTCATTATAATTATGTTTATATTTCCAACACAATTTAGTTAAAAGAAAGAAGGTAGTTATAAAATAGAGAGGTTGTGGAGTACCACGATATTTTATACGATTAGAGCTGCATTCTAAGAACAACTGTCAAAATTACTTTTTTATAATCTACTTAATAATAATATGATAATAACATTATATCATAATTAACATAACTGTTCATTAGTGTTTATTATGTATTGTCGTAAAAGCTGCATTTTAGTTTTGCAAATATAGAGTAATATTATAATCATGCTACACCTAGGTAAAAGTTTATATGTACATATAAAACTAATTTACAAAAAAAAACTGGAGAAGGAAAAAAGTTATGAAATAGTAGTAATTTTGAAAAGAGAGAGAAAGAAAATATATTTGTATTAATTTTATAACTTTGGTTTAGTTTGGAGGTTGAATATAGCTTTAAAATAATATATGATTGAACTTTTTTCGTAACGAAAAATGTGTGTAATCAACGCATGTCGTCTACTATACGATATTAGTTGGTGATATATGTATTCTTTTTCCTATTCTACAACTGCAACCTTATTTCCCCTATTCAATTTTTTGTAAATTTGTTCTATACAAGATGGTAAAAAATCATTCTTCATTTATAATGTATATAAATAGTAGATAGTACACCCTTGATTGTTTATTGTACATATATATAAATAATTTAACTAAAAAAGAAATTTATATATATATGTATATAAATTTCTTTTTTAGTTAAATTATATATTGTAATAATGCATATATATTATTTTGCTTAAAGAACAATCGGTGTTACTTACCGTTTTCGAGTGTCGGGCGACTTTTCACCAGTTGACAGAGAGGTACCCCTTGGTAAGAAACTTCTTTTCGATGTTTTCTCAGGAGTATGCCAAGATCCTCTTCTTTTCCCAGCGGTTGAACTACTATTGGCTTGCTCGAGACTCTTCTCGAGGTTTGCGATATTCTGCTCGATGTCGATCAACATTTGTTGCTCGTCCTCCATTATTTCCGATACCGCGTATGAGCTGCAACTTCCATCCGGGGGATTGTATCGAATTTCGAAGCACACCACCGCCTACACATGTGAATAGTACCGCATTAGAAGAATCAATCGATAAAAGTTTAGATAATTGGTGCGCATAAGAAATACCATGCACGAAATTTGTTTTTTTGTGTCGTGCAAGCTCGCCACGTAGCGATGACAACTAGAATAATGTTACAACATAAATTAGAGTAACCTAAGAGGAAAGTGTACACGTTTAAAAATATATTTAGCACAATTTCCGATATCAGGACCATTTAAAAAACGTAACTTAATATGCATAACATGTATAACAAAAAATAGATTTATATTTGCTATCAGAAAATAGAAACACTGTATGTGATAAAACGTATATATTTAATATTTTTTATTTGTGAAAAATGATAATGTTTAAAAAAATAATAAAAGAAGATTTTAGTTGCGAATATTTTATTGTAATACTTTTTCATGACTTTGTAAAGATGAAGTTTCAAAACTTATGGTATGCGTCAGAAATGTGGAATATCGAAATTTGTATTGAATTGCAAATTTTTATTTGCTTCCTATAATAAAATACAATATTTTATTTTATTCAACAGCATTCAAATTCATATTAAAATATCTTTGAAACAATTCAGGAAAATGTAATCTTTATTTAAATTATTGAAGGTTTGCTAGAAGGTCGCACGTAAACTTTGTTCTTCTATTTTAATGCACTTTCTATGGTAATAGCTAAAATTGACACGGTATAATTTATAAAAAGAAGTTAATGTATTTTATAGATTGCAATGTATATATTTTGCTGAGAGGCGTTTGCAATCATGGATATATTTAAACGCTTGAGAGATATTGATTTGCGAGATATAGAAACTTTGGTATTTAATTACAATGATTGTCCAGCTAAAATATCACAGTATTGATAAAGGAAAAAATATGGAGATGTAAAATAGAAGATAATTTAAACTTTGTTAACAATGCATAGTTAGTAACAATTTATTCGTTTTGAATTTACAATGTCATTTTCGCCTCCACAACCTTATTCAATTCTGAATAATTACACGCAAGAACAATACTCGTTAAATGTGACTCAAAAGTAAGCTTGAAAAGCTATAACTAATACAAAATTTCACATTTTCCAGTAACTATGATGAAAATATGCTGTTTTGCAAAAATTTTCATATATATAATAAATTTTATTGTTGGTTGAAAATTATAATCATTAGTGATACACATATTATAATAATAATGTTTCCAAGTCTTTTAATTAATTAATATTAATATGAAAATATGAAGAGGGAGATCTCGAAATATGATATACAATTCTAAATTTTAAAATTAAAAAAATTGCAAAATTAATTTTTATCAAAATGTTTGTACAATTATTTAATAGAATTATAATTTTATATATTTATGATGTATCTGTTTATTTCTTTAAGAGAAAAGAAATGGCTAGAGAGAGAGAGAGAGAGAGAGAGAGAGAGAGAAAGAAATGCATTTAGAATAATGCTTCCCCAGATGTACACTGACACTGAATACATCTGCTGTTATATGGTACAAAGTTATATGGTACAAACGTCAGTCACGTACATAAGTACTTTTCATGCGGAAATGTTCCCGAGACGAAAAACAATTAATATAGTTGCTTGGAGACAAGAAACAAAATTTAAATTGCTATCTTGAGTAAATTAGGTTTGCTGTTACCTTAACGAATGAAATACATGCGGGGCCTTTAAAAGAGAGAGAAAGAGGGAGAAGGGTTTTTTCTTATTTTTCTTTCTCAGTATTTGAATTGCAAATTATTCGCATTTTAATTTCTCTTTTTCACACAAGAACGTATAGCCTATAAGTTCTAAGTCACTTAACAATGATGTCCATTTCGTTATTTTAAAGAGAATTTATTATATGTTCGTCCTTTGAAGCTGTTTACCATTTAGCAAATTCTCGAAAAAAATTGATAATGTAATTGTAAATATATTTATAATATATATGAAACAAATATATGTACATTATATAAAATTATTATCGACAAGTGAAAATATCAAAAAGTCGAGAAAAGATACATTTATAAATTTTACCTGCAAAATACTATAAAATAATAGTATTTTGCAGGTAATAGCAAACATACGATTTGAGTCACGCAACAATTACAATGTATTACTCGAAACACATCCTATTGTGCATGGTGATTACGTATTCAGCGCTATTCTCTTCGATATTGAAACGTACCGAAAGCGGTTTGTTATTGAGGTCAACCAGAGAATCTGAGACCAGGATTCTCCCTTCACGCACTACTGTTTGTAACACCAGTCCGTATCTCGCCGCAACTTTTTCGTTTCTCAGGACTCCGCGCGATACAACTGCCAGTTGCAGCACTTCTGCTTCGTCCACTGGTCTTCCTAAATTCCACGTAAAACTCTGAAAACGGAGAATGAATTATTCAGAATGCACGTTTTGTCACATTTTACACGATAAAAAATTTTAAATAAATTAAAGGGCTCTGTAAAATCAACAGAAAATGTAATGACTTTGTTTTATGAAATTAAATCTTTCACATTCAAAATCAGAAATGAGTGGAAACTTTAAATTTTTTACTTCTTTCTTTCTCCAATCTCTTTTTTACTAATCAGATAACTCTTTTTAAAATCATCCAGTAAAGTAATAAAATTAAAGAATAATATTTAAAAAGAATCTTAATATATATCTTGATGTGGAATCTCAAAATACATATTTTTTAATATTAATTAATTAATTAATTAACGAAAAGCTCTATTATCATAATTTTGAGAACAACGGAAAGTTTAATATATATCTACATATAATAAAATATTTTATATATTTTTTAGAAAGTTTCACGTTTTATTTTAATATGAATCGAAAAAGAAGTATAGAACAAAGTTTAACTATACGTCTAAATTAGTCCTATCTTTAACAAAATCTATGTTTTTATAAAATGGGGATATTAATTCTTTTTTAATTTTTTTGTAGAATGTAGAAAGATTCTCTTGAACAAGAGAATATTGAAGGAAAATATTATTCTTTTCTTAATATTCTCGCAAATTGATTATACGTTCTTGTAAGCACGAGGCGATTCCTAATATCGCTATCGTGTGTCTGCCCGCATTCGACTCGTATGCATATAAAGAAGAAACACATAAAAAAATAGCACTCGAGATTGGATACACATATGAATAAAAATATAAAATCAATAAATAATGCACAGATGCCTTTGAAGAAACCACGCGATACTTAAAGAAGAGCCGATATTGAAAAAGCTTCTATAAGCGAAGACCTTCAGTACGATAAAAGACAATTTATTATTTACGCATAAGAAACACTTTTCTCTCTTCGTAAGTTTTAATAAAGCTACGCTCATCATCGTGCAGTTGTTCCAATTTCATATTTGCCATCTCTTCTACGAAGAAACAGATGAATTAAACAGAATCGATAGGGTTTAAAAATAGTCGGTAAAGATTAAGTTAGAAATTCTTTAAGAAATCAGAGAAATACCTCAACGTAATTTTGTGGAATATTAAAAAATTATTTTATTGCTGTTAAATTCCAGATTCGGGAATAGCTTTTATTTTTCAGAGCTCAAACATCAGAATTTAATAAAAAAAATAGTATTATACTTTTCTTTGTGCTCCACGTTTGCCAATATATATGCCACGTGCTAACAACAGAAACGGTAAAACGCGAAAAAAGCCGAACGATTTCATGGATTGAAAGACTAGGAATTTAATTTCACAAAATTCTTCTCCTATTTTTCACAGAAAGTCATTCGTGTTTTGTGTTTAATACTGTAGATCTAGAAGATCGATGAATTTGAGAGAAGATTTTTTTTCTTAAAAATTTGCTTACGAGGTAAATTTTTAACTACTCATATTTAAATCTGAATTAGCATTCTTTATATTTTTTTCTATAATTTCTTTCACGGACTTATTTTAATTTTTATGAGAATAGGAAAAGAGGATTTTTAATTAAAATGGAAAAATATTAATAATACTCTCTTTTCTTTGCTACAACAATAACTATTATTTAATAATTTACGTTTCATTCATTAGGAGAGAACATGAAAGTTTAAAGACTAATCCCAAAAATCAATACATATAATATTTCATATCGGAGGCATGAATTTTTTGCACAATTCGTTTCAATTTGCATATGTTTTATCAAAACCTTTTCAGTTTTATGAAAATATATTGAGTTCTTAATTATGTTGAAAGCATTATAAAATCGCGATCCTCGAATTTATAGATATAATCCTTCTACCATTTATGCAAATTTTATGTGTTCATTAGTTACATCGCGTTTCCATTGTTCAGCTTATCAGGATATTGCGAAGCGTTTATTTCCTTCCTAGATCGTGTTTACGAGGAACGATACATCGTCCACGGTCAGACAACTTGCTGTCAGATAAGCTTCTCTAATGCGAGAGTATCGTAATGGATTGGTTCACATCGATGTCATTAAAATGAACTTTCGATTAAGTAGCTTCCTCATCTTCATACAATCGTCAAACACGATGAACTAGGTCAATATTTTATACTTCCGGTGCAGAATTTACAACATTCCACATACGTAATATGCCCGCTGAAAATATCGAAGCTTGCCCTTCACATTTCGTATATCACATACATCTTGAAGATGTACGTTGAAATTTTTATTTCCTGAGAAGACAGAAGACAAAGTGTTACTTTACCGTTGTGCATTCGCAAGCTTATTGCAAACGAGCTACTGCAAACAATGAAACATCGGTACTCATATTTTCTCGTAAACCGATTAAATTTGTCACGGAAAGCATTGTCATGTAAACATTTGCCATGTAAACCATTGAAGTTGTTATGGAAAACAATGGTATTGAATTGTATGGATTGTCATCATTTGTTACGTGGTTACGTTTCCCAGCTAAATACATTCGTGAAGTATTTTGAGGCAATCGTTTGATGAAATGTAACGATATGCAATGTTCGATGCGTAAAAAGTTTTCCGATCCTAAATATTCACTGCATTTTTCACAGTTGTCATATATGGCGAATATGTGGGATCGATTTTACTATCGCGTAGCTTTACTTCAGTCGTGACATAAAGTTGAATGGTTCGCTACATTGTAATAGCAGTCGACTACGTGCATACAATATTGAAGTCGCATTTTGTATTTTGAGGAAAAGGATAATCAACATGCTACACTCCTGCGTTCATCATGAGTTCTCTAACAAATCTGACATTTTCTACCAGACTATATGGTATGAAAATCTCACAGGTTACCATTGTACAACTTCAAAGCTAATTTGCAATGCAAATTGGGAAACTCAGAGAAAGTTTTGATAAGAGTCTCATTGAGATTCTCTTCAATTTACAAAATATAACTTTCTAAGATTAACAGAAGTAGCAATTACAACCGCTGGAAACCAATCTTATTATTTACCTTTTGCAAATCTTATCGAGCTTGGAGATATGCTTGGTCACGTCATCACCTTAAGATTGCATTTGATTTGTATCGTTACCGTCACCCTTGTTATTTATTCATTTAGGAATAATAATATTTAGAGTGTATAGTAGAGCATTAGATTATATTTTATTATACAATTCTAAGGAAACTTTTTTTTATTAATCAGCACAATAGAGTATTTATTGAATAACAATAGTACTTATTAAATAAATATCATTTAGTCAAAATTTAAGTTGAAACGAATCTTCTTGTATATGTTTTCAAGTACTTTCCTGAATGGTTAAAATGTTTAGTGGCGTCTAATGATTTAATGCGTTTGTAATTTAGGGGGCGTGACTGAATCGTTATTTTCTAAATGACACGCATAGTTACTGCTCTAACGCTTCACAATTATATGCCATATAACAGGAGACATCAACACTTTGATAATTCAATACTGCAACCAATAATATTCTATCCGAAAGGCCATTCTAACGATGCGTACCACCGTATATTAATAAAAAATATTTAATAGAGAAAGTATATAAATATTTAATTACTTTTTGGAAGCCTAACGAGAATATTCTTAAGATGTTTTCAGTAAATGCAATATAATAGTAATTAAATTAATATCTCTGTCTGATGTAGTGTAAGCTTTATCTTAAAATTAGTAAAATATTTAAAAACAGATCTTTTGGAATAAGATCATATTCTAATAAGAGCTAATAATATGTATTATTTCACTTACTTTATATCTCCAGATGGCAATGATTAAATTTCGTTGCCTCAAAAATACATGTCGTTAATAATTTTTGTGATGCAAAATTAATTTTTTAACCATTCAGATACATTTTAATATTAGATAGTTTTATAACAGAAGGTGCACGTATTGGATAAGAGCAATTTCCTATATATCTTTATTTTTTCTTATTTTACATATGTATTATACATTACAAGTATCCATCTATCTTATATCTTAGATTACCTTTTATCGTTTTTTACAAAAGTAATCAAAGCATCATGGATCCATTAAATACTCATGAAAAATGAAACAAAGTAAAATAAAATATTATAATGCATGCACTAGTAGGATAGTTTATAGACTTAAGTAATAAATTTAATTTATTCCAGTAAGTTTGTAATCTATCTATTTACTAATCAATATAGTTTTATTATATTTATGTATTTTTTATTCTATTAATTAGAGTTACTGGTTATAATTATATTTTAATGTATTCAGTGAGATATGCTAAGAATGTATATCAGTAATTAAAATTCTTTTTTGCCACTGTTATTTCTTACATAAACCAATCTTTGTGATTCATAATGCCCGGCGCACCCTGGATCATATTTTAAAGAATGTTCTTATTTCTTTTTTAATTAATATTTGTCAAATATATTTAATAAATTTTAAAAAATATATATAATTCTTTAATTATATACAAACAATGGAAGAGACAAAAAATCTTATATTTAAAAGTATGTTTGGAAGTTAAATTTGCTCTTCAATTTTTGAAGTTTATGATTTCTCCTTATACATAAAACGGATTTGCCCAAAGCGGAGATAACAAGGAAGCTCTCCAGTAAAATTGGATCAAGTTTGTAGATCCAATAGTTTGCGAAAAACTCAACATAATCCTCTTATTAAACGCGTCCTTGTTAACAGCGCTTACGTTCTATTGAAACGCAAAACTATTATATGGTATATGAAAACATATTCTTGAGATTTTGCTAAACTTATTGTAGATCTAATGTTCGTGTTGTATAAAAGTACAAGCATTTTATTAAAAAAAGGAGAAACTTTACCTGCTCAATCTCAATAACATCTCCACTCTCCTCGAGTATCGATGAATAATGCGATACTTCTGCAACAGATAAGAAAAAATATGTTAAATAATTTATATATTTTAATTCATGAGTTTTATTACTATGTGCATAAAAGAAACCTTTAATATGTACTGTAATTATATAGCATTTAATGTAATAAAGTAATTATATATTAATAGCTTTGGATGTATCCTTGAGATGATAATATAAAACATTATCTGAAAATTAAATAACTAAACAAAAAGCATAAGAAAATAAAAATAAAGTTAAAGTACAGGTACATGTATTAAATAAAAAAAATTATGTAGACATATAAGTATTATTAATATATTCAAGCTTAGTTTTAATAATATTCTTTAATATAAAAATAATTTTTTTAAATAATTATTTTACATATAATTAGAGTAACGTAAATTAATAATATTTTTATATATTAAAAATAAGCAAATTTGATATATGAATAATCTTACACTTGCGTTTTTTTAACTCTAGGGAATACTAACTTATCGTGCGTGATTACGTCAGCTTCCATTTTAAATTCGAAAGCTGTTCACAAGTTCGCCGGTTAATAAAGGCACTTTGGGGCAAATTAAAATTACATTTTGCAGCTTTACGTCAGAAACGCTACTGCAAATTTATAAAGCGAAAAAGAGGGTATCAAGTTTTAGTTTCGAAACATTATGGAATAGAGATATCTTTAGGTAGATATCTGTAGCTAGAATACAAAGTGCCTTTATTCCTGAACAACAGTAAATATCTTACTGCTATTTTGCTTCTGTAGAATTCTCGAAGTACTAGATACCTGTACAATACAATTAAATCATTGCGATACATCCAAAGACTGTTAAGGATAATATCATAAAAACAATTTACTTTTTATGAGCCTTATATGTATTCCAAAAAGATGCAGTAACGATAACTGGCCATTATTATTCTAAATAAAGCATGCAATCCTATATTGAAAAGAAGAAATATCGTACAATCTTTTTATGCTCGTTAATTATTTATTCGTTTTAAAACGAAATTGCATGCGATTTCTAGATGCTTCTATTAGATAGGAGGAAAAAGTAGGCCAGCTTTGAGTGATTCTAATTGTATCCTAGTTGTATTCACAGTTTAATTGCGAACTAGTCGACAAATACTTATATTAAAACAATAATAATAATTTAGTTTGTATAGATAGAATAATATATTAGATATTATAGATTACATACATCATCATACTTTGTTTTACATTTCCATAATACAATATTAGAAGAACATATATCTGATTATTTCATTTATAACAAGTTATTTATCTAGTAAAAACCCCGCGATTATCATCAATCTGTTTACCGTAGGCAAAATACTGGTTGCGAGCAGTGTGCTTTATTTGAGGCAAAGTTTAACTAACAAAATAACAAAATTGTTATCTAGTTTTACCAATGAAAAGCACAGAGATAGAAAGTTTTGAATAATATATAAGGTATTTTATATGATTAGCCATGCGCGGTCCATGTGCAATCGAAGAAAGAGCGTTTGTTCGTTAATGAAATCACTCAATGAAATCAGACAAATACACGTGGCAATTTCTCTATTTTCACATTTTTTCCATAATATCTCAATTAATATTTTTGAAGAATTTAAGAAAAAAGAAGATAAAAATAGAATTATTAAAATTTTAGTAACAATTGAAAAAGAGAGAGAGGGAAAAAATAATGAAAATATTAATTTTTTTCTTAATTTTATCTTATATTTTATAAAACAATTAATTTATTGTTACATAAAGATAAAATTAGTTAAGTAATACTATATATTATTTAAATAATACACATATAGTAATAACACGTCAGTGGTGAGGTTATTATGTAAATTCCATAGAAAATATGCAATTTAATAAAACTAATAACTATTGTAAAAATATAAAAACATAGTCGTTAATAAATAATTATAAAAATTGTGTTGTATATTTATTTAAAGTTAACAAAATACATTGTCTAATTTTCTTGTCTTACATTGTAGGCGTAACATACATAATGCGTACATATTCGTGATAATTAGAGCGCAATGTTTGTATTGTTACATAAATATTATTGCACTAACGCACACACGAATTCACCCCCATCAGCCATCAGTACTATTCGTGATTTTAATCAAAAGGAATTGTAAATACCTTGCCATATCAACAATCTGAATAATTACAATGTCAGACGCTACCTTTGCGTGAGAATAGTAGATAAATATTATACAGAAATAGCTGTACAACATTCCCAAGAAACGAGGCGATCTGGCTGCGAATGCATTAATATTGCGTTCTGTTTGCATAACGAATGCAGCTATCGATTTGCTCTCGAGGATATTTGCAAATTGCTTAGTAGTGGGCACTTTAGCCGCCCGAACGATCGATGTCTATTCTGACAATAACGTCATAAACGCGCTCGATTGCTATGTAAATTTATAAAAGATCTCAACACAAAACGCTGCTCATACATCAACATTGTTACGGTGAATTGTTCTTTAATATAATCGGTGTCAGTTACGACTGCACAATGCATGCAGAAAGTTTGAAGAATCTACCATTATTCGCTAGTATTATTTTAACAATACAATAGAAATGCAAATTATCTTTCTTTGTAATAATCAAGTAATTATTATTAATTATAATTTTAATTTATATAGGTAATTGTGCAAAAGCATACAATTTCATCGTATTTATTATATTATTTATCATCACGAAATAATCGGTAGTGAATTGATTAGTTTTTCGTTTACATAAAATATTTATATTTTCTCTATACATTACATGCAAAATATTCACGAGTTTAGGAGAATTAGAAAGAAGTCATTTACAATTTGCGGACACGTAACACAAAAAAGTAAGATAAATTTGGATGGCCAATATTTGAGATAAATTGTTATTTCTGCAGTTAGCTTATTACGTCAAAGCAAAATCATTCATATGTCAAATCTGTTTACTATTATTTGGTCAAGTTTAATATCTCTCTCTCTCTCTCTCTCTCTCTCTCTCTGACTTTATCTCTGTTATAATATTATATATATAATGCTACGTAATATAATACGGTATTTATGAATTCTATTAACATGTCAATTTCATAATATTAGTGGTTTTGCCAAAGAGTGTAATGTGCATTTACATTATGTGTGTTTTCGATTTTGAGAGCGTGTTATAATTATTAATTCTAATAATATATATTAAAATACATAAATACTTTTAAATATATTTAAATACTTTTATTTTTTGTATAAAATAAATTTCTCATTTAGATATTAATAACCCAAAACGTTATTTTATAATAAAAATATTGAAACATATTATATATTAAATGATTTTTTTTTATATATTTTCATTTCTATGTAATACGAAGTTTTTACTATACAATAGATGATCACGAAGAAAATGAAAGTAATTCGAACCCGATATCTATTATTCGATATCCGTTAAATTTCATTAAACAGAAAACTAATGTTATTTTTTCCAAGTTAGTAATTTAAAAAATATGTATATTTTTAAATTAAAGCATTTTTTTTGTAACGCATTTACGTTACTTAAAAGTCGGGAACATATTCTGATATTTTATTTGTAATTCCCAGAATTATTCATAATTAAATGATGGAAGAAAGATTCTCACTATTTTATTATTTGAATATTTCTTTGATTAATTATGAGTTCTAAAAATATAGAATTAATTATTACAATGGTACAAGAATGTTTATTTGCAGATCCTTAGACAGAAAGACCCAGATTTCAAATTTCGGAGATTTCAAACTTCGCACATTCCTTGTTAAATTCTCCACTGTCCGCATTTAACATCGGATTAATTGTAATTTATGTTGCGATCAATGTCATAATTCCAACAGTAGATGCTTTCGATGAATAATAATGCTAACAGATATTGATAATCCGCTGCAGAGGCTAGGCGGGTATTATGACCGTATTGCAAGGAACTTTGTATTACAGTAGATTATGCGAAACTCGAACGATTTCATATCGCATGCAACCTCTCTAATTTCTCATTTCACATAATTACATGTATGCTGTAATGGATGCTGGACATCGTTAGTTTTTTTGCTACCGACGCGCACCGCAGTTAAAGATCGTTTGCCGGGTTTCGATACGGCACGTTCACACAAACTGGGGCAGGTATGATTAAATGAAATGTTATACGCTCCCCCTATAGACTAAACTTAGGCTCTAGGGCATGCGTTTCTCGTTGCTGCGTCTGAATCTTTCCTAGCTATACAAGCAGCCTCACGGCAATAAGATCACAAGAAGTAATAGCAAATCAAAAAATTGAAGAAAGCTGTCTTAAAAATATCTGAGAAATACAGAAACTCCCAAGAAAATCTGAGAAAGTGCATACTGAAACGAGCTTCGTGTTATTTGCGTCTGACGTAGACATCCGACAAACATTTCTGGAAACACGTTAATTATCCGAACGTCTCGTATTAATTAAATTTTCGTTCAATTCCATTAATTACGTCAGAATCATTACCATGCGAGAGAAGTATTGCTGTGCATAATGATAACAGTAAGTATGATGTTAAAAGTAATTTTTATTTTAAAAAGAGATTTGCGATAAGTTAGAAATATATTTGAAATAAGTGCAATAAAGGTGTAACACAATTTATACTTTATTCTTGTTCGTATCACATTCGACTCTTCCTGTTACAAAATGTTTATTTCCAGCAGTAAGCATTTAATACCAGTATTCATATAAATAAAACAGTATGAATAAAAAAACGCACCATTTATATTTTTGAAATCACGAAAGGATTAGCGACACGTAATGCGTATTATGATTTTTTTAATGTTACATTTGTTATTTTATTTTTAGATTTTTTGCAATATGGAAATAAAAAAGCGAACTTTTAAAATTGCGCGCAGAGAGGATCGTGCGTCTCTTGTAACTATGCCATTGTCAACGTTATCATCGAAAAATTTTGATTAATTCACGTTCATCGATTATTGGAAAGTCATTGACGCATATAGCATACGACTACACCCCGTTAACTCGAAAATTAGGGAAATTAACCCGAAGCGTCGCGTCGCTCGGTGGTCCGACAATTATCTCTTAACAAGGATACACATCTGCGATACAGTTAATCGCTAGAAATATTATGTAAACGTTAATAAAGGATGTGTACGCGCAGATATACGCATCCAAGCACGTGACAAACATGTGCATATTATACTAATATGCATAGTAATGAGTTGACAATATCGATAATATTCAGATAATAGGGATCCAAGTAGTTATACACCAGAGGTAATTATGTATCGAATATCATGCATCAAAAACAATTATGTATAATTAAAATAGAACACAGCCCTGTACGCGTTCTCTAATAATTTCTTTTTCTTCAAAAAAGAAAAATACTAAATCGTATAAATATAATGACAAAAGAATAAAAACAATTAAAAGCATTAAAGAGACAAAACAATATTAAATAAATATAAATATATATTAAGATTAAAAACAAATAAAACCTGATAACATGTTAAATGATTATTAATTTGTAAACGCTTAAAAAGTATCAGATTTTTTGTTGATTTTTCAAAAAACGAACATTTTATTGAAGATAATTTTGCAGATGACAAATTGCTTTTTTTCGTTTTAAATAAATAGCTATTTATTTAGAAAAATTTTCTTGCTTATGAGAAAAATTGAGTTGAGCAAATCGCTTTCATAAAAAGAACTATTTTCTGTGAATGTCAGTGATTTAATAAATTTTAAGTTATATGCTAACATTACCTCGAAAGTCAACCTTTGCAACCTTCTCGCCCTTGCACTTAAGACCTTGAATATTCTTCAGGATAACGACGAGCGACATTTTTGCTTCTCTACTGAGCCGTAATTAAGGAATCCTTAAATAGGGCCTTCTGTCATTTAATCTTTAATGGATGTATGACCTCCCAATATGTCATTCACAATATCGGTTACTTCATTCATCGATATCATTTTTGAATCACGAAATGCAGTAGCTCTTTGCTCCAGTTGTAAGTCAAGTCTAGAGACAGTCTATGGAACAGTCAGAGGAATCCCTTTTCGTTGCTGCGTACGTTATCGAACCAGGTGTGTCGCCCAGCCAGGCGGGGTCAAGGTTAACAAGGAGCAGTCCTGAATCACAAGTCCTGAGATACGTCGAGTTTCAGTCACCTTTTGACGAAAGAGTACGATTCCAATCACGCGAACGTGCCTCCTGGAGGCTGGCTCGACGACTGCTCTCTGTCCTGCGAGAATTCGCGCCTTAAACAACCCCCGTGAGTTTGCACCGGGGGTATAATGAGCGCACGCGCCCTCGGCAGTGTGTGGTGGCCGTTGGAGCCGGTTTTCATCGTCATCACCACCCGCTGGAACCGGCGTTCACCATTACGCGTACGCCGAGCGTCGTTAATGAATGACGTACGCCTCTCGTACTTGTCAAACTTAATCGGCAAGTGCATTTTCGTGCAACATGGCATAAAAATAAAAACGAAGCGACAAATTCGTAGAATCGAAATGTGACGGTCTAAGGTTTAGACTCTAGTCTAGACAATGAATAAGAAAATATAAAAAAAAACGTTCTCTGGAATTTCAGAAGAAAATATATCTGCACAACAAGTTGAAAATTTAAAAGGGCGTTTAAAAATTTAAAATACCTTTTAGAGAAAGCTTCGACCTATTCTGACATTTACCAATTATTGAGTATTTTTGTTACAATAAAATAGAATATAAATTTGCAATATTAAAATACGAATCTCTAATATTTTGCAGGAGAATATAAATTAAGAATATTTGACGGGACCTGCTTAATTCATATATATATATATATAT